GCATTGCACGGGAATGCAATACAACGCAATGGACCCAAATGTCCAGGCCAAATGAGGCTTATCCTGTCAGGGCACCGTGTTGCCGGCAGTGATTTGCAAGTCCCGCAAGATCGCGTTCCTTAGCCACAATACCCGAAGCACACATCAACGAAAGCTCAATCGCTTCCACGATCTGAGATTCCCGCGCTACGTTTGTGGTGCCTATCGCTTCAAAGCCAGCTAGATTGATGTCTATGTACCTAGGGCAGCTGACAGTTGATGAGGATTCGCCACTCATTTGGGTGTGGTTCAAAAAAAACAGGAGGGGATACGCAGGTTTTGGTTCATGTTTCCACTTACCAGGGTTCCATTTTGGTACCGGTTTTTTGAGCCACAGCCATTTGACCTCCAAGCTCATGACTGCGTCCTCTGGATGCTGCTCGGCAGGTCTTCAGACTCGCGCAGAAGTTGCGGGAAAAAAACTCTGCCTTTTGGATGTCTCTGCGCTTCAAAAACAGGTTCTGCGCACTTGAAGCGCTGAGCACTTGGCAGGCTGCAGAAGGATGGTGATGTCCGAAATTGCCCTGGCACAAATAGCAGCGTCACCAACACCCCATTCTCAAGAGCAAAGACGTGCGAAGGGACATAGATGCCCATCCTTGGATAATGGTGACCCCATACTGTCAACCCCAGTTTAGCAATGGCGCGGTGTCCCTGGGTTTAGTGGGGAATCACTGGATATGGGGTCAACATTACCATCTGGCAAAAGACTGGCAACTTCATTCTCACCAGCTTGGCGCACCCGGGATACAACGGGTTGAAGGCCAGCGTGGACACCACGAAGGTCTGCGGATCCAAACGAAAAAGAACGACATCTTGGTTTGCGACATGTGTCTGGGCCTCTTGAAATATGAGTCTGTCTTCTTCTTGAGGCCACGTCTCTTTTTGTTGGAAATCGAATCACTGGAATCCGAAGCCCACGCGAGTCACAATCAAAACCCAGTAATTAGTCAACTGGTCTACCCAGACCCATGCTTCAAGAATTCAACGAAGGCGGATCTCCGCGGCTATTTGGCTGTGGTTGTCAAAACCAATCGGATCCCATGTTGGGGTAGGTGAATTCACCACCCAATTTTGGTTAGGCTTCCTATTCTAGTGCTTGGATTGACTCGGATGTTCACTGGCTCACCGCTTTGGTTTGTTCCCATGGCCCTTTCTGGCCGCTGGGATCGATCCGTCCCTAAGCGCTGGGATCCGCGCCACGGGGCACAGCTGGGATCGGTAGTTGACGAAATCCTCGGAGGTGCAGACCTCAGCGCCCGCTGAGACGGGGTCGGGGGACATCGGAGAGATCTCATGAGATCCAAACCAAGTGTTCCCTGGACACCAGTCAATCTGCGGAGATCTATGTTAAAAAGAAAGACCGCCAGAGACAGGGGTCAGACAGGGAGCGGAAGTACTAATACTTTTCTCTTTTTTTTAAGGAAGTCGAGGGGCCCCGGTCAGAATCAAGGAAAAGCGGAAAGGCTGCAGCTCTGCCGGCTGGCATGGCTTCAGGTCCCTGGCATCTGTCCATGGTGTGATAGCATCGGTCTGAGCATGGCATAGACCGACCAATGCCTGGAGCTACGAATCCGATGCGTGCCAACGCGAAGCGCATGCGTTCCGCCAAGGCGGGTTTTCCGCCGCGGGTTTGTATGACTGCAGCGCTTTGGGAGTGCACTGAGGGTTTTTTGTATTACACCCTGGGATTGGAAATGACCCAGAATGGTTCAAAATAACACGGGTTTGTCCGGAAATGTGCCGAAATGGGGTCAATACCCAGTGGGTGTGGGTGTATTCCCTGGGTGAAATACAACAACCCTTAGAAACCAACGAACAAACGAAGGCGCGCCGCGAAGAACCGAAGCAGCTTCCACCGCACCTCAGCTTTGCGCACATAGCAGCCCCTGTGTCCCCGCCAAAATGGGTATGCGTCAAAATTCAGTCACCCGGGGACCGCAGGTTTTAGTCTACTTCTCCATTTGCCAGGGTCCCATTTTGGGTACCTATTTTTGACCCACAGCCAAATGACCTTCGACTGTTACACACGCGCACGTGAAGACTGCAGATGGATCAATGACTTTCCACTGTACGAAGGTACAAATCTCAAGAAGCCTGTGTGCATCGCTGCTATGTAACATCTCCAAATACTAAGATTACTAAGCCAGTCATATGAAGCTGCGTGAGGCGGAAATATGTGTTTAAGCACCTTGGTCGCCAAATCAGTGCCAACGGCGTGACAAAGAACATCCCCTTAATGGACTGCATGTTTTCTTCAGCCATGTCGCCACCACCAATAGAATAATCTGTAGTGCCGAGGTCGCGCATTTAGGTCGCGGCAGCCGCCATTCACGCGTTACCGAGCACGAGCCTGAGCTCGCATTTCTTGTTTCAGACACAAAGTGCAATGAGCGCAGTATGCGCCAGCGATACCTTGAAATTTAGGTGCGCCTTTTTCTAGGGGACCCCCCAAAATGGCGGCCTTCTTTGTTGGCTGTGTGTCAAAATCCCATACCCGCCAGTCAACAACCCGATCCAACCACTAAACTAGGAAACCTAAAATGGGTGGCGCGAATTCACCAATCCCAACCATGGGATGGGATCTCCCAAAACGGTCTTGACCAAACGGGCCTTTTTGGTCCCAGTGAGTGCGCTCCCAAAAAAAGAGAAGAGGACACGCGCCCATGGCTCGCGAACTCGAACTCTCGAACTCGAAATCGGGCCCCGGAAGCTGGAGGTTGACAGGTGTCAAAGAACCGCCCGCGGCTTATGTCAACGGGGAAAGGAGCGGCAGTCGCTCCTTCCTGTACTGAAGGAAAACATCTGCAATCTCCAATATATATATATATATATATATATTTAACAAAACAAGAAAAAAAGTGACATGGCCAAACGAAAAAGTACCTCATTGGAGTCATTCATTCCCGAGATTGCGAAGGTCGAAGTGCATCCCTGGGGTCTTGACATTTTGAGAACACACCAGACCAAATTGCAAGGTTCGGATGCCTTTCGGAGCCAACAACCAGAAACCTTGCTAAGGCAACTGCCGGGCTTCGGCCCCTCAGAGCCATGACAGCTCTGAAGCCATCCCCTCCAGCTGAGCCAAAGGGGGCGGAGCGGCGTTTTGGTCGCCGGAAAACCGCACTCTGGGTCCACGTGTGCTCCACTCAGAAGCTGCACCTTTCCGAAAATCTTCCTGCGACAAGAACCATGAGTCAGCAAACCTTGCCACCCACACCTTTGGCCTGGTCTCACAATGGGCAGGCGCTCTCGTGGCTAATGCCGCAGAGCTCGTGCTGAGTAGAACTGACTTCTTCTGATTGCTTCAAAACACAGGGACAGGTCGGAGGCGTTGGGCAGGAAGTCTGAAGTTTAGTCCAACCTTATCTTGAGGCCTTTGCTTTTTGGACATTTGGTGCAGTCAGGTCGTGCTCCTTGCATAGTTTTAGCAAGGCGCCTGCCTGCAAAAAAGCTCCTAGTGTGGCAACCATTCTCCAGCAATTCATCCTGCAGTTTGAATTCACAAAGCCATAGATCAACAGAGTGGACCACTCGAGGAGATACCCTACCTGAATTAAGCAGTGCGAGATTCGTTAACCTTGCCTCTGCTGAGCTGAGCGAAAGGATGTTGCTCCAGGTTCTGACAGCTCAGCATTGAGCGCTCAAGGCCCCAGCCTTTTGCTCAGCCCAGACTCGGCTTATCTCCAGCCGGAGGACCGCTCAGATGTCAAGCTTCCAGGAGCAATCCTCGTCCAAACAGGTCGATTGCATGGGGTATTCCGGATTCCTGAAACTCTCTTGTTTGTTCTATGTCCATTGGGTACAAGACCGGAGATGCCTTGCTCCGCTTGGTTTCAGAGTTAGACCTGGTTAGGGCTGGCTTCTCCATCAAGAACAGGGGGGATCCAGAACCTCCATCCAAACCACCAAATAGTTTCCCGACTTACGTCTGTCACAAGGGTTCCAACGAACGGACTCCAGATGGTTAACCCCTTCGGCCGCCCACAGAGGCGCAGCGCGCTCGAAGTTGGAGAACTCATCCTGTCCGGCGTGGCACCCCTGGCCCCCGTCCGTGAATGATTTGGGTTTGTCTCAAAGTAGGGGACCCCCAAAATAGTTGGTTTGCCTTTTTGGCTGCAACCAGAAAGGGGTAAGTCCAAAAAATACACCACGGCGTACATGGGTTGTACTCTTGGCACCTGTCCGTAAATGTTGCTTTTTACCCCCCCCCCCCGTCCGTAAATGCTGTTTTTCTTAATCAAAACTAGGTTGAGCCCCTTGGCTGCCCAAAAACCAAACTGCTTGGGTGAGCCAAACTGCTCCCTTCCGAGGGCCGGAGAACGGCCTCCGGCAAGCCGGTCAATGCTTGTATCAGCCAACTCGAGATAGGAATCGGAACCCCCATGGGGCGTCCTTTTGGCGTCCCTTTTCAGCAACCCCGTTTTGGGGCCAAGTAAGCAACTCTCCCGGCCTCCCAGGGTTCAAGAAGTTCAAGGGGCGCTTCGCGCTTGCCCGAGGCCTTCACAGGTTGCGCCGCAATTCAAAGACTGCCCAAGGCCTTCTGCTTGTACTCCTATGTGGAAGAATCTGTGTTTTTAGTAGTGTTGCCCAATTGAACCATGTAAAGGACCTTTTGAACCTCACCTCTTTACCGAAGACCCTGTCTCTGAGGATCCCGTTCCTTCCACCATGCCTCTAGCACCTGCGGCGCCGCCGGCATGGCGAAGTTCAGCCTGTGCTGAAGTGAACGGGAAAGGATGGAATGATTGAGAGAAGGGGGTGTTCAATATACTTGGCCCCCAAAAGACCATGGGTAATTGCTTCCAAGCTAGTGGGAAAAAGCATCTGTTTGGTGGTTTCCCCATGGTCGTCCCAAGAAAAGGACCTGTTTGATTTTACTCCCCCTAATTGGTGCGGCCAAGCAGCTCATCATCTTCCAACTCAGCTTGCTGGGCCTGACATGCTGTGAATTGAGGACGTCTGAGACATTGTTTAGATATGGCTGTGGGTCAAAACCAATGGTACCATTTTGGGGTAGGTGCACCACCCATTTTAGTCGATTTTAGTGGGGATCGGGATGTTCACTGGGGGTATTATTTGGATTTTGACCCATGGCCATAGCCAATAGCATGTGCCCTTCAGACATCGCTTCACGATACTATGCCTTCCAAGGTCACCGTTTGGCCGCGCCGCAGCCCAGTTTGATCCAACGGAATGTCGCAGTTGGCTGGTCGGTGCATCACAGACACTTGAAGCCATGGTCTAAAGCTTCCAAGGCCTTACACGGGAGCGTGCAATCTGGGTGCGCCCTGAGCATACAAGTTTACACAACTGGGTAGCTTACAGTCTTTGCAGGCATCACGACACCAAATTATGTGCGGTAATTTGCCTGTGTCCCTGTCTCGCGAACCCCATCAAAGGAATTCCTAACGGCAGGTATCAGGCTACGAATTCTGGTGCAGGCATAAATGTTACACTTCGGATTGGCTCTGCCGACCTTGCCCTCCTTGACCTGGTCGATCTCTGGAGGTTGCGGAGTCTGTGCAGCTCCACCTGACACAGTTTAACCACCCAATGCCAAATCTCTCTTCGGCCGCATCTGTGGCAATGTCAAAGGTACAGGGAGGATCCTATCCAGCTTCCTCCTGTTTCCAACGACCTGGTCAAATACACGCTTGCCACACTCTTTGCCAGGCTGGTCCATCTCGCAAGCCCCGCAAAAAAAAAGGGCAGCCGCTCGTGGGCTGTCTTGGACCATAATATAAATATTAGATATATATATATATATACTAGGGTGAACCCGGCCCTGCGCCCTCCTGCCCCCTCGCAGTCTAACCCACGAGACGATTCAAGGTGAGCGCACGCGCGGCCAGGTGCAGAAGGCAGAAACGTGCGTAGTGTTGTTGACGACAACGACGCTTCTCGCCGCCGTGGAAGGGTTGTCGATTTTTTGGCGCAGGCTATTTTTCTGACAAGCTGGGGTGGGTGGGAGGGTGGGGGGTGTCAAAGTTCTGTGCAACATGAAAATACGAAATTGAACTTTTTGAGCCCGGCATGACTCGTCCTGCTTTTGCCTCGTTACCTCTGTCATCACCAACGCGTGAGTCAAGGAAACGCTGTTCGGCTGAATGGTATCGATACTAGCTGAAGACAAGCAAACACATTTATAAATACATACATATATGTATATATATATATATATGTGTAGTGGCGGGCGACCATGGCCAAACGGGAGCTGGAGCAAGTGCAGCGGGAATCGAATTCCGGACCTGGGCCGAACGTCAAAACTCTACTCGACCGAAGGCCCCGAAGATTACAGTCATGGGCCCGGTCCCGAGTCGAGTAGAGCTTTCACCTCTAGCTGGGAAGGCTCTTTTTTTGGAGGGCGATGACAGCACAAAGGCCGCGAAAGTGACGGTAAGTGCCCGAGCCACCCTGCCTACCACATGCAGGCGCAGCGCGAGGTACGAAAATATATATGTATATATACATATATATATTTCTATATGGCTGTGGCTCAAAAAACCGGAATTCCAAAATGGGTTGCCCTGGTAAGTGAAAACATGGGTACCAGAACCCGCGGCTTGCCCCTCCGGTTTGTTTTGAGCCACAGCCGTACGCCGCATCCCTTTCCCAGGACCCGAGACGAGACCCCGAGACCCCGAGGTCCTGGCACCGGTCCCGCCCCGACCCCGACCTGAACTCGCACCACGACCCCCACAAGCCAACCCGCAACCAACCAAAAACTAACCCTAAACCAACCCTAGATACACCCTAAACCAAACCCTAAACCAAACCCTAAACCGTAAACCTCTAAACCTGAACAATCCTAAACCAACCCTAAATCTACATAAACCAACCCTAAACCAACCTAAACCAACCCTAAACCAACCTAAACTAACCCTAAATGCACCCTAAACCAAACCCTAAACCTAAACCAACCCTAAACCAATCCTAAATCAACATAACCCAACCCTAAACTAACCCTAAACTAACCCTAAACTAACCCTAAATGCACCCTAAACCAAACCCTAAACCAAACCCTAAACCAAACCCTAAACCTAAACCAACCCTAAACCAATCCTAAATCAACATAAACCAACCCTAAACTAACCCTAAACTAACTCTAAACCAACCCTAAACCAACCCGAAACCACCACAACCCAATCACAGGACCACAACCATAGGGGGGGGGGGGGTACTTGTCTGACCCATGACCATTGGGGTGGGAGATGGGGGGAGTGGCAACGCTGTACCATATATACACATGTTTGATTGTTTTGTGTTTGCTTGTAAAAACACATTTTCTTGATTATTAAAAAAAAATGCGATATCCCCGGCTCCGGGACCAATCTGGGCAGAACCCCCCCCCCCACCGGCTTTCGCCTTGAGCCGGTGCTGGGCGATCTGCTCCCGCAGCAAGCGCTGGCTCAGCTGCTCCTCTCTGAGCCGCTCAGCGCAGGCCGCCGGCGGCCCGGTGGCGACGGGTCTGGCGATTTGGTTGGCGTAGAATGGTCGTTTTTTGGGGCGCCTTTTTTTTTGGGGTCCCTTTTTTGGGGCGGTTGTGTTTTTGCCAAAACCAAAAGGAAAACCATGAGTTTGTGTGGTGGGCCCCTTCTTTTGGGGCGGTTTTAAAGCAAGAACCATGAGTTTGGGTGGTGTTTTTTTTTTTTTTTTTGGGGGGGGGGGGCGGTTTTAAAGCTAGAAACCATGAGTTTGGGTGGTGGGTTCCTGTTTTTGGACGGTTTTAAAGGAAAACCAAAGGAAAACCATGGGTTTGGGTGGGTTCAAAGGAAGACGCGCCCATTTGGTCAAGGGGACAACTAAATCCAAATGGCTGGAATTGCGTCTGATTTCACCCAGAATTTCGAGGAAAGGCAATGATGTCAAGAATGATGTTGCGGTTCTCGTGAAACATCACGAGGCATCACGCGCAATCAATCCAGGATTATCCAAAGTTTGTCAACTATAAATCAACAAGTCAACCAAACTGAGGTCAGCGACTGCTACAATTGTTGCTTCTCATCCAGGAAAAGCGACGTTCTGTAATTCCCTACGCCGAACACTTGGACTCCTAGCAACTTGTGGTTTGCGACTTTGGGAAACACAAACGAAACCTGAGATGTGAGGCACGGTCAAAACAATTACTGGTTCTCTCAAGACTTGGGTCAAAAGTAGTAAGTCCCCTGGTTGTGGGAATTGCACGCATATCCCTTCCCAACATGGAAACTTCAAGCCAAGCTTTTGCGCTCCAATTCGCCGCGGGCTCCGAAGTCTGTACAGCTTGGGCTGAGAAACAAAATGTTGGGCACCCCAAACTATCCCCGCAGCGGATAGCTTCGCCTAGGATCTGCCGCCTCTCGTAAGCTCTGCGCCGGAAACTCGGCGCCTGCGCCGGGACGAGAACAGGGGATGCGGTGGTAGGTTGGAGCTGGATCGCCACCGATGGTCAAAAGCCATTCATGGGAGCGTCGGTCGCGCCTGATTCAGAGGATTGCTTGGTGGCAGTCAGCCCCAAAGAAAAGGAACAAACCAACTTTTGACCGGCCCAACTTGGGCATTGTTCCATCTAAATCTGTCCTTGTTGGTCCCGGGCCCAAAGCAAACAAGCTCTCTGGATGCTCGGCACACACTCGGCACCGAATGTCTTGGCCTGAGCACCCTGTGAACTCCATGCTCGCCACAAACACCGGAGGCATGGCGCCCATCGCGTCTAATGAGGCCCTCAGTCGTGGAGTCTTTTTGGAGAAAAGGAAAAATTTCGGCGGCGTTCCCCGAAAACATCTGCGAGGTGTCCATTTTGGGACCTTGGAGGTCGACTACTTTCCCAACAAATGGACAGATCAAGCCAGTGTGGTGATTGTTATTCCCTTTGAATTTGCATTGTTGTATCAAACTCTTCCGCGAAACCGTCCGCAGTGTGAAGGGTACCTTGTTCGAGCATGTTTCTATATAAGTGTATGTAAGTGCTTCCGCGGGCCTTCCACAGGCAAGTTGCTTCTGGAAACTGAGGAAGGTAGCTTCCGTGAGGGAATTCGTGTGCACGGTTTGCTGGTAAACGTGCTTGGCAACAACTACCCAAACGAAATCAATCTACTATGCGCAAATCAACAACGTCCCTTTCCGCGAAACAAAACACCTTCCGTGCGGCGCTACCTGTTTTGTTGATACGTCAACATCTATACATGTTTGCTTGAGCGGGGGGGGGGGGAAAAAACTACACAAAAAACCGCTCTGTTAGTCCAGGGGCTGCCGGTGTTTCTAGGGATTCTGTTGGGTGGGTTTAGAGTTGGTTTAGGATTGGCGTAGGCTTGTTTAGTGGGGCTCTCAGGGTGGGTTTAGGGTAGCTTTATTAGGGTTGGCTTAGGGTGGGTTTGGGGTGGGTTTAGATCGAGTATCTTTAATAGGGTCGGCTTAGGGTGGGTTTAGGATTGGTTGGCATAGGGTGGGGGTTTAGGGTTGGTTCAGGTTCAGTTTTGAGCGGTTTATCCGCCGACCCCCCTGCCTGCAAGGGGAAGGCGCTGGGGGAGTGTTCGTTTAGCGTTGGAGCGTGACTGTGGCAGCCTTCTCCCTTCCCTTTCGCCCTCGCCCGTTCAGCCCTGTACCTTACCAGCCTTCTTTCTTTCACTTTTTTCTTGTTCTTCTTCGTTTCTTTTCTTTCCTTTTCCTTTCTGCTGCCGGCGCACTCCTTTGGTTGGTGCTCGCTGTAGACAAACGAGTGCGGCCTGGAAAAGCGCGGGAAGCGAAGCTTTTGTGGCTGGCCGCTCCCTCTGGACCGATAGCCTTGCTGCATATTGGACTCAAACGCGACGTTAGGCACCCGGCCGCGGCGGAGCAGGCTGCCGGCGCACTCCTTTGGTTCGTGCTCGCTGCGGCGAAGCGAGTGCGGCCTCCAAGCGCGCTGGACGCGAAGCTGTTCTTGCTGGTCGCGCCCTGGGGACCGATAGCTTTCTACTTTCTATATAGGATTCAAAAGTGACGTTCGGCACCCGGCCGCGGCGCACCAGCCGGTCTTGGCAAGACGCACAGCAAACCCAAAGGGATGAAAGACCAGGGAGAGGCAAACTGTGACAGACGCAGGCGCACATGGGCATGGACAAGCCGGGGATTGAACCCGGCCCCTCTCGCATGCTGAGCGGGTGTGATGCCACTACACCAACTGCCCCTCAGCTGAGCAGGCCGAGAGTGCTCAACTACCTGCTGCGCACAGCTTTCAGCGCTGAAGCTCTGTCACGGCCAGCCCGTTCGCAGCCTGCTCCGCCGCGGCCGGGTGCCTAACGTCGCGTTTGAGTCCAATACGCAGCAAGGCTATCGGTCCAGAGGGAGCGGCCAGCCACAAAAGCTTCGCTTCCCGCGCTTTTCCAGGCCGCACTCGTTTGTCCACAGCGAGCACCAGGTTTGCGCCCTGGGGACCGATAGCTTTCTACTTTCTATACTTTCTATACTTTCTACTATTTCTATATAGGATTCAAAAGTGACGTTCGGCACCCGGCCGCGGCGCAGCAGCCGCCCTTGGCAAGACGCACAGCAAACCCAAAGCGAGAAAGACCAACGCAGGCGCACATGGGCATGGACAGGCTGGGGATTGAACCCGGCCCCTCTCGCATGCTGAGCGGGTGTGATGCCACTACACCAACTGGTCCTGAGCCGAGGCCGAGAGTGCTCAAGTACCTGCTGGGCACAGCTTTCCGCGCTGAAGCTCTGTCACGGCCAGCCCGTTCGGCCTCTTTTCTTCCTTTCTGCTGCCGGCGCACTCCTTTTGGTTGGTGCTCGCTGTGGGCAAACAAGTGCGGGCTTGCCCGTTCGGCCTCTTTTCTTCCTTTCTGCTGCCGGCGCACTCCTTTTGGTTGGTGCTCGCTGTGGACAAACGAGTGCGGCCTGGACCAGCGCGGGAAGCGAAGCTTTTGTGGCTGGCCGCTCCCTCTGGACCGATAGCCTTGCTGCATATTGAGCAGGCTGCCGGCGCACTCCTTTGGTTCGTGCCAGGGATAGGCAAACGGTGCCAGACGCAGGCGCACATGGGCATGGACAGGCCGGGGATTGAACCCGGCCCCTCTCGCGTGCTGAGCGGGTGTGATGCCACTACACCAACTGCCCCTGAGCTGAGCAGGCCGAGAGTGCTCAACTACCTGCTGGGCACAGCTTTCAGCGCTGAAGCTCTGTCACGGCCAGCCCGTTCGCAGCCTGCTCCGCCGCGGCCGGGTGCCTAACGTCGCGTTTGAGTCCAATATGCAGCAAGGCTATCGGTCCAGAGGGAGCGGCCAGCCACAAAGCGTCGCTTCCCGCGCTTTTCCAGGCCGCACTCGTTTCACCAACCAAAGGAGTGCGCCGGCAGCAGAAAGGAAAAGGAAAGAAACCAAAGGAGTGCGCCGGCAGCAGAAAGGAAGAAAAGAGGCCGAACGGGCGGGCCCGCACTCGTTTGCCCACAGCGAGAACCAACCAAAGGAGTGCGCCGGCAGCAGAAAGGAAGCAAAAAGGCCGGACGAGCGGGCCGTGACAGAGCTTCAGCGCTGAAAACTGTGCCCTGCAGGTGCTTGAGCGCTTTTCCAGGCCGCACTCGTTTGCCCACAGCGAGCACCAACCAAAGGAGCGCGCCGGCAGCAGATAGGAAGAAAAGAGGCCGCTGGACGCGAAGCTGTTCTTGCTGGTTTGCGCCCTGGGGACCGATAGCTTTCTAGTTTCTATACTTTCTATACTTTCTACTAATACTATTTCTAACTAATACTATTTCTATATATAGGATTCAAAAGTGACGTTCGGCACCCGGCCGCGGCGCAGCAGCCGCCCTTGGCAAGACGCACAGCAAACCCTAAGCGAGAAAGACCAACGCAGGCGCACATGGGCATGGACAGGCCGGGGATTGAACCCGGCCCCTCTCGCGTGCTGAGCGGGTGTGACTACACCAACTGCCCCTGAGCTGAGGAGGCCGAGCGTGCTCAACTACCTGCTCGGCACAGCTTTTCGCGCTGAAGACCCACCCGCTCGGCCTTTTTTCTTCCTATCGGCTGCCGGCGCGCTCCTTTGGTTGGCGCTCGCTGTGGGCAAACGAGTGCGGCCTGGAAAAGCGCTCCAGCACCTGCAGGGCACAGTTTTCAGCGCTGAAGCTTTGTCACGGCCCGCCCGTTCGGCCTCTTTTCTTCCTTTCTGCTGCCGGCGCACTCCTTTTGGTTGGTGCTCGCTGTGGACAAACGAGTGCGGCCTGGAAAAGCGCGGGAAGCGAAGCTTTTGTGGCTGGCCGCTCCCTCTGGACCGATAGCTTTGCTGCATATTGGACTCAAATGCGACGTTAGGCACTCGGCCGCGGCGGAGCAGGCTGCCGGCGCACTCCTTTGGTTCGTGCTCGCTGCAGCGAAGCGAGTGCGGCCTCCAAGCGCGCTGGACGCGAAGCTGTTCTTGCTGGTTGCGCCCTGGGGACCGATAGCTGTCTACTTTCTATATAGCACTCCTTTGGTTGGTGCTCGCTGTGGGCAAACGAGTGCGGCCTGGAAAAGCGCTGAAAACAAGCAAACAAGCAAGCAAGCGAGCAAGCAAGCAAGCCAGCAAGCCTGAACCAGCCAAAAGCCGCTGACAGAACAAAAAAAACCTGGGCTGGCCCCCCAGCGGAGGGGTCGGCGGCACTGGGCGGCAGCCCTTAAATATAGCTGGCTTAGAGTGGGTTTATTTAGCGTGGCTACGCCTGCTTTAAGGTTTCTTTAAGGTGGGGTAAGGGCGCGTTTAGATTGCGTTTAAGGTTGGCCTCGTTGTAGGCACTAGACACAAAGTATTGGGAATGTCCAAAACATTTCGTTCAAGGCTGTGGTTGTTTTGTTTGTTTGCTGTTCCTCGAGTTGTTTTTGTCTGTTCAGCTGCCCTCGTGTTTCTTCTTCCGGGGGGGGGGTTGGAGCCTTGAGGTCTCAAACGCTTGCGGACACGTTCTTCAGTTCCTTTTGACAGAATCACCCAAGGCTGCCAGCTTCGACATCTAGCTGTACATATTTCGCACACCTAGTGCCTCCGCATATAACTTTAAAACAAAGAGAGTCCTTGCTTTTTCTTACTTGATTTATGTAGGTTCCGATTGAATTCTACTGAACAATCCCAATTGGACAGGAAATCCTAATTGAAATACGATTCAAAACAATATCGAATTCCAACTGTAAGTCTACTGCAAATCTGGTTGAATATAAAAGCTCTGCTTGAATCTAGCAGAAGGAACAACCGGTTTGTCTTTCCTTTCCATATTCTATTTAACGCCTCATCATTGTTGACAAGCAAATCCGAGATACGTGGAAAAAGCCCGATTCAAAACTGCAAGGGAATCCTATCTAACATATAGCCCAACATAAATATCCTACTGGAGCTGAAAGCATCCTCGGAAAGGAGCTCCTATTTTACGTAATGATTTAAATTGAAGTCCGGTTGAAGCCAAGCAATTTAAACTTGGAAAAAACTTGGAAGGAAACTTGCAGTTTCCGTGGGTTTAAGAAACAACCAGCTTGTCTTTAGTAGAATCAATGCGCAAACAATTAGAAAAAGCGACCAGCTTGTCTTTCCATTCCAGATTCCATTTAAAGTCCAATGCCAAGCAGGAATGATAAGGAAGACGCTGATTGAATGGTAGGTGCAGCAATTGCATGTTGCAACAATCCATGACATGCTCCCACAAGCAAAAACAATGCGATTTGGCGTGCAATTTACCACCTGTGGGGCACGGGCCTCTAGGTTGATATAGGCCTCGCGACCTGTGACATGTAGTCGAACCACTCAAATCGCCCCGGGGCTTGGTCGCCAAGGGGCGCGCCCCGCAAACCCGCCGCCGTCACGGGCTCTTGCGGCAGCTCCGGCAGCTCCGGCTGCGTGGGCTCCGGCTCCCAGTCCCAGCGACCTGGTCTTTTTGTCCCGCCAAAGGGAACGAGCCCTGCCCAGAAATCGCCCTGCCTGGGCCCAGCTCTTGGCTTTGACCGTATTGAAGCGCAGAAGGAAACCGGAAAAACCGAACAAAAAGGCCATGACACTGTCGGCATCTAGCAAACCGGCAGGTCCCACAAATGGTGGCCAAGGAGGGAAAAAAAGAAATGAGAGCAAGGGCGTTGATCTCCCACAAGCATGGGAAGCTTTGTGAGCACAAATCATGGTCAGGGTGAGTGTGAGAGGCAAGTTCGACACATTCATATCATGCGGTCGGCTTCCGAATTAGCCAAGCTCTTGACACACAAGGCTAGTCAATGCTTGACTCTGGGTTTGGCGACTCTCAGCTTTCCCTGGCAATGAAGCGCTGAGCAACCGACCAACCGGAATGCCGAGACACGGCTGTCACAGCGCTCGTGGATGCTGCTCAGCTCACCGAAGCCGGGAGAGGTCAGCAAGGACTCCTGACTGGCGTCACTCAGCCCCCTTCCGGGCCACTGACAAAACTTTGCACAGAAAAACAAGCCCAGCTGGCTGCTTGACATGCCCAAATCCCCGACATGGGTGCTTTTCTTTTCCCCAGTTCCTGCCCGTTTCAGTCTGTTGTCTCAAAAATTTTCGCATTGGCGGTTCTGTTGTGGATTCAACCAACCCCAGAAAGGCTTCCCACTCCCTAACCACGGCATCCATTCGCCACGTGAGAGCATCGGCGTCCTGTCGGCCCACAGCTGATTCCGCTTCGGGCTCATCCAGGTGCTCCACCTCAGAGACAGATTCAGCGAATTTGATTGGAGCACCCTCCCATAACGGCATTGGCACACACACACACATTATTGCATGCATGGATATTTATACGTACATATAATATATATATATATATATATTATAATATATATATATATATGTATTCTGGCTGCGAATTTTAAGAGGGAACCACCACAAAGGATGTTGGTGGACACAAACCCCGATGTGCACCAAGGGGTCCCCTATTTCAGATTCATACCCATGTCCGATCAGATCCAATGAAATGAGGCGTGCGCACTCTCCACCTTGCTCGGAGAGGATGCCTTCAGTTGATCACATGGCTCGCATTCCCTGCTCGGGTGGGCCTGCAGCCGGGCTACAAAGCTGCCAAGTAGATCATGTCAAAACAAGAGAGAATCTGGAATTGTTCTCAAACAAACTCAGCAACAACTGTGAAAGCTCAAGTGCTTCACGATGTGGCTTCAAGAACTGTCCAACCCTTAGTCTGCAGCAAAAAACTGTGTTGTTTGCATCCCCCTACCAAAAATGAACAGCAGTCTTGGCGTCATGGATGCTACTGTCCAACAATCCGATTGAACTAGTTCTCGGCCCCTCAAGACGCCATGTCCCAGGGAAAAGCTGTTGGATTCACCAGGGACATCCACAACCGAGATGGGTTTGCATCCCGGCTTTTTTGTTCGAAAAACCAGCTCATGGTGGGTTGTCCTGTTAAACCGCCTTTTCTCACATCAAGAAGAAACAACCTGTCAAAGGAGACCATTTCTCAAAACTCGTCGCATCCATTTCGGCTCTCGCCCGGGCAGCGTAGCGTCCAGGGATGCTCCCACACATTGGAGCAAAATCTTGAGAAACACGTTGGACAAAGTGGGGTGCTTTGTTGTTTTTGAGGGTACCCTTTTTGTGGTTTTAAGGGAAACAACGGAACCGGAATCCTTTTTGGGGGACCCCAAGTTAACACACCCATGTCCTTCACTTCAGAGATTGATTCTTCTGCAGTCTTCCAACCAGTGCCAAAGTTCAAACCAGTGTCAAAGGATTGTCAAAGCATGCCTGTTCAGCGAACGCATGTTTGCAGTCGTCTCCGACTTGATAAACACCTTCTGCGTGTTGGCATCGTCAACCCCTCGAAGTGCATGGTTTTGGGGTCAATGTCTTCCAGGGCAGGGCGACGCCAACAGCCAACAGCCGAACGGGCTATTCACTTCCTATGAGCCACGGTCAATCCATGCGGTTGCCGCAAAGGACACGAGCAAACTGGTGTCTCCCCGCGTTTTGTCAGAAATTCATTGAAACACCACCATGTCCCTCTCAAACTGACTACAAACTACTCGATAGTTTGACCGAACCAATTCAATCAAAAGCTTCCTGTGCCGACCGCCGACCCCAACTGTGCGAAGCAGCCTCCATTGGTGCAGCAGCCTCAGCTTTGGCAGCTTCGCGCCTCGCCTGTAGCAGCTGGGCCTGCCACTGGCGCGCACAAGCGAACTCACTGCGTTTAGACGGGGCTCCACAGTTCCACCGCAGGGCGCTAGTTCAAAGATCTCATTGCCACGGGCGTTGTGCGCTGAAGATTTGGAATGGGATCGCACTCAGCGTGGCATCAGCTCGCTGAGGCCTAAGAAACCCATAAAACAATTGTGAAGAGAGGTCCATGTAAGAATCGTTCAGGAGTTGGGCCATGTACAGCGTCATCTGGCTAAATCTCCTGATTCTCCCAGCAAACGTATTGCGACAAAATCTCTGTAACACGGGACACCGCGTCCTTCACTTCAGCACTTGATTCTGCTGGCAATCTTCAATCCAACTGTCACCCCTTGCCCGCATGCTCTGCAGTCGTCTCCAACTTTACGAACACGTTCCGGGTGTTGGCAACGTCAACCCCACGAAGTGCAAGGATTAGGGGTCAATGTCTTCCAGGACAGGGCGACGCCAATAGTCAACAGCCGAAACGGTCTATTCACTTCCTATGGCCACGGTCCATCCATGCGGTTGCCACAAGGGACACGAGCAAACTAGTGTCCCCCAGCGTTTTGTCAGAAATTAATTGAATCACCATCATGTCCCTCCAATTCAGGGAATCGCCACCATGTCCCTCCCAAACTGACTACAAACTACTTGATAGTTTGACCGAACCGAACGCAATCAAAGCTTCCTGTGCCGACCGCCGAGCCCAACTATGCAAAGCGGCCTCCATTGGTGCAGCAGCCTCAGCTTTGGAAGCTTCGCGCCTCGCCTGTAGCAGCTGGGCCTGCCACTGGCGCGCACAGGCGAACTGACTGCGTTTCGACGGGTCTCCACAGTTCAACCGCAAGGCGCTGGTTCAAAGATCTCATTGCCACGGGCGTTGTGCGCTGAAGATTTGGAATGGGATCGCACTCAGCGTGGCATCAGCTCGCTGAGACCTAAGAAACCCATAAAACAATTGTGAAGAGAGGTCCATGTAAGAATCGTTCAGGAGTTGGGCCATGTACAGCGTCATCTGGCTAAATCTCCTGATTCTCCCAGCAAACGTATTGCGACAAAATCTCTGTAACACGGGACACCGCGTCCTTCACTTCAGCACTTGACTCTGCTGGCAATCTTCAATCCAACTGTCACCCCTTGCCCGCATGCTCTGCAGTCGTCTCTAACTTTACGAACACTTTCCGGGTGTTGGCAACGTCAACCCCACGAAGTGCAAGAATTAGGGGTCAATGTCTTCCAGGACAGGGCGACGCCAATAGCCAACAGCCGAAACGGTCTATTCACTTCCTATGGCCACGGTCCATCCATGCGGTTGCCACAAAGGACACGAGCAAACTGGTGTCACCCCGCGTTTTGTCAGAAATTAATTGAATCACCACCAATGTCCCTCCAATTCAGTGAATCACCACAATGTCCCTCCCAAACTGACTACAAACTACTTGATAGTTTGACCGAACCCAACGCAATCAAAGCTTCCTGTGCCGACCGCCGACCCCAACTATGCAAAGCCGCCTCCAGTGGTGCAGCAGCCTCAGCTTTGGCAGCTTCGCGCCTCGCCTGTAGCAGCTGGGCCTGCCACTGGCGCGCACAGGCGAACTGACTGCGTTTCGACGGGTCTCCACAGTTCCACCGCAAGGCGCTGGTTCAAAGATCTCATTGCCACGGGCGTTGTGCGCTGAAGATTTGGAATGGGATCGCACTCAGCGTGGCATCAGCTCGCTGAGGCCTAAGAAACCCATAAACAATTGTGAAGAGACATGTAGGAATCGTTCAGGAGTTGGGCAATTTTCAGCGTCATCTGGGCAAATTCCCCCCCCCCCCCCGCTTTCTTCTTGATGCTCCCAGCAGACGTATTGCGACATAATCTCTGTAACACGGGACAATGTGTCCTTCAGCACTTGATTCTGCTGGCAATCTTCAAACCAGTGTCAGAGGATGCCCCTTGCCCGCATGCTCTTTCTGGGTGTTGGCAACGTCAACCCCTCAAAGTGCGTGGATTTGGGGTCAATGTCTTCCTGGACAGGGCGACGCCAATAGCCAACAGCCGAAATGGTCTATTCACTTCCTATGAGCCACGGTCAATCCATGCGGTTGCCGCAAAGGACACGAGCAAACTAGTGTCTTCCAGCGTTTTGTCAGAAATTCATTGAATCACTGCCATGTCCCTCCCAAACTGACTACAAACTACTTGATAGTTTGACCGAACCCAATGCAATCAAAGCTTCCTGTGCCGACCGCCGACCCCAACTGTGCGAAGCAGCCTCCATTGGTGCAGCAGCCTCAGCTTTGGCAGCTTCGCCCCTCGCCTGTAGCAGCTGGGCCTGCCACTGGCGCGCACAGGCGAACTGACTGCGTTTCGACGGGTCTCCACAGTTCCACCGCAAGGCGCTGGTTCCAAGATCTCATTGCCACAGGCGTTGGGCGCTGAAGATTTGGAATGGGATCGCACTCAGCGTGACATCAGCTTGCTGAGGCCTAAGAAACCCATACACCAATTGTGAGTAGAGGTCCATGTGAGACTCGTTCAGGAGTTGGGCCATGTACAGCGTCATCTGGCTAAATCTCCTGATTATCCCAGCAAACGTATTGCGACAAAATCTCTGTAACACGGGACACCGCGTCCTTCACTTCAGCACTTGATTCTGCTGGCAATCTTCAATCCAACTGTCACCCCTTGCCCTCATGCTCTGCAGTCGTCTCCAAATTTATAAACACCTTCTGCGTGTTGGCAACGTCAACCCCACGAAGTGCAAGGATTAGGGGTCAATGTCTTCCAGGACAGGGCGACGCCAATAGCCAACAGCCGAAACGGTCTATTCACTTCCTATGGCCACGGTCCATCCATGCGGTTGCCACAAAGGACACGAGCAAACTAGTGTCCCCCAGCGTTTTGTCAGAAATTAATTGAATCACCACCATGTCCCTCCAATTCAGGGAATCGCCACCATGTCCCTCCCAAACTGACTACAAACTACTTGCAATCAAAGCTTTCTGTGTCGACCGCCGCAACTGTGCGAAGTCGCCTCCATTGGTGCAGCAGCCTCAGCTTTGGCAGCTTCGCGCCTCGCCTGTAGCAGCTGGGCCTGCCACTGGCGCGCACAGGCGAACTGACTGCGTTTCGACGGGTCTCCACAGTTCCAACGCAGGGCGCTAGTTCAAAGATCTGCTTGCCACGGGCGTTGTGCGCTGAAGATTTGGAATGGGATCGCACTCAGCGTGGCATCAGCTTGCTGAAGAAACCCATGCAACACTTGTGTGAAGAATCATTCAGGAGTTGGGCCATGTGCAGTGTCATCTGGCTAAATCCCCCACCCTGCTGTCTTCCTGATCAAGCGACGTATTGCGACAAAATCTCTCCAACACGCATTGTGTCCTTTACTGCAGTGCTTGATTCTTCTGGCAATCTTCGATGATGTCTGCATTCGTCCTCTGCACCCAATATTTGAAAAACTCACTCCGGTCGCCTCCAAGCCGTTCAGCTCCTGCTCCATGTCTTCCAGCGGCATTGCCTCAAACGAGAAAGGAACTGCATGCTGAATGGCAAGTTGTGATTTGATCCCGCAGATTCAGAAACGATGCATCGCTTGACTCGTTCCGGTGAGTAGTCTGGCTTTCTCGATCTCCCCGCTTGAATTCCTTGAAGGCCTGAGACTCGGGAAATCTCACGGCAGACCATCTGAAGGATTTGGGTGGAAGGATGTCTGGGTGCTCTGCGGTTTGCCCTTCGAGTCCGGTACTTGAGTCACAAAATCAAAACCCATCGGCGATTAAAATGGTCGATCCCCAGAATCATGCGTCCAGAATTGCCAAGGCGGAGATCCGCCTCCCCATTCTATGGCGAGGGGATTGTCCCCCCTCCAAACAGGGATCCTTACATTATACACCTGAACATTGCAACTTGTAAATGGTGGTGGTGTCCCTTTATTTTGCTGTTGAAAAAGCCATGTTTCAAATGGTTGCAAAATGAATTTCTTTTCAGGAGCCCTGCCAAAGATTCCGGGTTTTGAGCCTGTCACTCACTGGCTAATTGCTTCAGCCATGTGTGCACATGCCTAATTCATATGCTCCTCATGTCTCCAAACGCCATGGAAGCGGGCAAAAAGTGGACTGTGGATGGACCAAATCCTGCATGAAAGCCTAAAAATGCTCTAGGATCACCCTGCCAACTGGTGCGCTTCGCAGATTTTGCTCCATCCAAAGAACCGCCCTCTTGCATGCCCCAAGCTGACTGTACCTCGCCTCCTCGTAGCCGGCACACTCCGGTGAGGTTTTGCTCTCACTTGGCGGTGTCTCCAGAGCAGCGTTGCGCTCCTGCGGCAACGCACTTTGCGAGTCCCTCTGATTCTGGCAAAGTAGACAGGAGGCAGCAGAGGGACTCGCACTTTGCAGCAGTAAGGGACTCTACTGCTGCACTTTTGGGAGATGAGAAACACTTTATGGCAGTGAACAGTAGGCAGTAGACACCTTGGTATGAAGCGAAGTCAGTGGACTGTTGCTATGGCATCAGAACCTCCAGGAAGCTCCTGGAATCGTGTCTTTTTTGAGGCACGCCAAAATAGGGCAGGTTTCCCCATAGGCTTCTCTTTAACAAACCTACCAACAAGAATTACCATCAAACAAAGACACACCCGAGCGATTCTTGCTTTTACCATTCTGCACCCAGCAGTCCTGGACACAAGAAAGATCGGCCACATGCTGGTCCCCGAGCTCGATCAAAGACTGAAAGGCCTTCTCTAGCCCCTCAACCTCTGCAAGTGCCGGAGGGACAATCGCTCTTGCCTCCTGGGTGTGGCTCAAAATTAAACGAAACAGGAGGGGCAAACCCCTAAAGGGTTTTGGTTTCCAGGTTCCCACTTACCAGGGCAATCTATTTTGGAACTCCGGGTGTTTGAGCCACAGCCATATGGTTGTTGACTGCACACAGGTCTGGGTGACTATCCCCAAGCAACCAAGCAACCAATTCGTGAGAAGTGTCAGACTGGGAACAGCGAAAAGCAGATCCTTGAGCAAGTCTCTGAATGATTCGCCTCAGCAAAACATGTGCAATCAGATTGATACTACGGTACAAGGTGAGCTCTTCATGTGTTGTTGGTTCGCTTTTGGCGCTGTCCTGTGTTTGGTTTGTAACTTCTTCCTGAGCGGAAAAACGGGAAGAACAACAAACAGTCAGCGTCCATGTGGCATATCGCTGTCCGGAAGTACTAAAGCCACGCTTTAGTAAGAACGAGGCAACTGCAACATCCATGGGCCTGCCTTTTTTGATTGGAACAGGACACCACCCCCGTTTTGGGGGGGAGGGATTTCCCTTGCTTTACGCATTCCGTCAATTTCGGCGCGCCTCCTGTCGCAGGCCGGCGTTGAGGCACTGCCTCTGCTGCACGGCCGCTTTCAGCCTCAAGACCTCGACCTTCCACACGTCCGCCGTCCGGGAGATGGCACCTAAGCGACTGACATCACTGGGGCAACTGGCAACATTAACCTGGAACACCTTCTGACATGCCTTATCTCACCCCCCCCCCCCCAAAAAAAAAAAAAAGAGAGGAAGGGGGAAAAAAAACGGACCAACAAAAACAAGGAAAAATGGAAAAAAGGGACACACGCCCACCTGGCAAACCTTGCCCTGTCACCCCGCCTGCGGACGCATCCGCGGACTCCGGCCGGCGGACCGCTTTGCGCGCCTCGGCCTTGTCTCCGCAGCGCCGCAGCGCCTCCCGGGCCCGGCGCAGCGCCACGGCGCGCTGGGCGCATTTGGTGCGCAGCGCCTTCACCTGGCGAACGGCGCGAGTCCCTCAGGGCGTGTGGCTCAAAATGGCGGTGGCGGAGAAAAACACGCAGCAACATGGCACTTTTCTAGGGGCACCTTCCAGTTCCATTCCAGTGATCCGAATCTTTTCAGGAAACCATAAAAATCCAGGGAAACGGATCCGGTTTTTCAAAAGAACGATGGTTGAAAAGAATGGGGAATCAACCCCTAGAGTTATCCGGTGTCAAGGACCTTTTTGTTTGGGGGGGGGGGGGGCGGTTCTCCAAAAATGTCTTTTTTTTTAAAAAAAAAAAAAAATCAGAAATATATACTGTGGATGGAAAAAGCAAAATTCATGCTTCTCGCACAAAACCCTGGTTTATGTTTCGATCTCCTTTCAATACCAACAAACAATGGTTTCAGCCATTTTTTTCATTTCGTGGCGCGAAATGGATTTCGTCCCCTTTTTCAGCGAGGGGAGACCAAACGCAAAACCCCCTAAAAAGATGGCGCCCCCCATATTCCCCCCATTGTGCCATGCCTGTGGGCGCATTTTTCGGAGCTTCTCAAAATGGAAGCCCCCGAAAACGGGTGATCCCTTTGCATATCATTCAAAAGGTGGTCCGCCACATGGAGAAACTCTCACAAAACTCAGCCCAGGTGGACAGAAGAAGCCTCAACATAAGTCGATATGACATAGGCTTCACATGAATATAATACTATATTGCATAAGAGGTCACATTGCGTACTGTCGTGGCATGACCCAACACAACATATGGCATGCCATGGCATGCCGCAAAATGGCATTAGGCAGAACTTGACACAACATGACATAATGTCAAATCATCAAATATAAGATGTCATAACATGACGTACAACCGGCAAACACCTTGCGCCACACAAACAATCCCAGGTGGTATCTTCAACAGCTCCCAAACCCTCCGAAACCCTCCTGACAGCTGCCCCAAACCACCCCAGAGCTTATCTAGGCCTAGCGCATCCATAGCTTTCAGCTGAGAAATCAACACATTGAAGATCAAACCACGTGGCTTTCGCCTCGGGCTCAGCCCGGAACAACGCGCAAGCGAAAGCTCCAGTGCGCGCTTTCGCTCGCTGGCGCCTGCATCAGCGGCTTCACATGGTCCGGCTCCGCCTCTTCGGGCTCCGGAGTCTCCGTTCGCGGCTTTCGCCAGCAGCGGAAGCAGACCATGGCGAAAGCATGCCGCCCGTCTAAACCTATAAGGGTTGGAAGGGATCTGAGCGTTTGCAGGGAAACAGCCAAAAGGACATGTAGTATACGCGGGTGAAACCGGAATGCAAGACTTGTGCCAGGGAGAAATAAGCCTGCTTTGAGTGGGGCAAAAAGAAACCTTGGACGCTTACATAAGCTTCAACATTTACATCGGCTACAGCCAGGTGAACAGTTGAGAGGGACGCAAACGATCTCACGACATCACATGTTTGGGCTGCCTCGAGTTGGAATGGCTGCAGAATAGACAGGTCTCGCATGAGCATGTCTCGCTTGCTGCGCAACCTGACACGCCAGGTTGCCAAGGCTGCACAATATGCCATTTGAGTCTTCTACAAAGCACCAACGGAGACTCCCCAAAACGACAACTATTTGGCTGTGGCTCCAAAAATTGGTGCCCAAACGGCACCCTGGTACATGGAACCAAAGACGAAAACCTGCGTAACCCCGGTTCCTTGATTTTCAGCCACACCCATTTAAGGACCTAAGCCTCAGTCCCTCAAATCTGAGGCCGCAGCTTGCCACGGTCCCAGCTTCGACCGTTCGCCGTCCCTGGGACCGAGACATGGCCTCTTTTTCGGACTTGGTACCCCCGGTCTGTGGATTTGATACTGGAAACCCAAGGGAAACCCGTAAAAAACCCGCCCAAGGGGGATTTTTTTTTAAAAAAAAAAACAACAAAAAAACGCAATTTTGGGGGTGGGAAGAAGAAAAGCACCCACTCGATCCAAACCCGACAGCTAGAGGAAAGCCTCGCCTGACTTCCCGCTTTGGCAGCTCAGGCACTGCGCTCCTGAGGTTGGCGCGAAGCGTCAGCGAACAGCGTGGACAAAAATGGTCTTCCTGGATTCCGGGCCACTGTGTTTCTTGAAATCGAGCACCTTCGCGGGCGACCCGGGCTTTGTAATGCTTTGTATAGGTGTCGGGGCGTGATGCTCGGCCAGAGCAGCGCTAGTTGCTTCACAGAAAGATTGATTGCGCCATAACCCATCTGGGAGAATCGTGCAAACCACTGACCTTGGTTCCCTTGCTGATCGGCCATGAGTCTGTCCCTCGTGTTTACATGTGACACCCATTCGAACACCCATTCGCACCAGCTGCTCTGAAGCTTGGGCGGGGCGATCTTTCAGTTTTCCAGGAGTGCTGTGAAGACTTGCGTTGGTGGAAGTTCAGCGGGTACCTGCAACAGGTAAGACCAAGCAAAAGTGAGCCAAAGCGGCAGGCTCGTAGGGGGTGTCCGTAAGGAAAGGACTTGTACCACACGATGTCTTGCAAGCGTCTCCTCTGCAGCGGGCTGTCGCATTCGCTCAGGTCATTGGCTACCAGCACGGGCGTCACCTCAGCAACACGGGCTCCGCTCGCATCCGCGAAATCCTTCCACGCGCTGCGCAGCTCCCAGGGTGTGCCTTTTGCATCGGAAAATTTAGCCCTGGGAGATCACCCTATCCTGTCTAAGTCGAGATAAAACCTGGATATTTTGTTTTTTGGCCATGGTTCAAAACCAATGCTACCATTTTGGGATAGGTGCACCACCCATTTTAGTCTATTTTGGTGGGGATTGGGATGTTCACTGGGGGCACGGGGGTTTGACCCATTGAGAAATGTCCCTAGGCACAGTCCGGACCGGAGCGGTCAATCAGTGAAGGTGATGCCAAGGACCACACATCCGCAGGCGCAGATACAACTTCCGGAGCTGCTCCTTAGGAAGCGGATGGAGCAGGACAACCATGTTTGTCACTTGCTGGTTCGACAGGTAGAGAATGAGAAATGGAATGGACCGTTTTGGGATCCCCCTAAAGGAAACCACCAGTTGGATGGTTTATATTTACAAGGGTCAGTCCATTTCTCATGCCCTACTGAGCACCAGCACGGTGAAAAATGCCATGGAACAGCCTTGGCACCCTTTCAAAAGGACGGCGCTTCTGTGATGGCGAAACTATGTCCGTCTGAGTTCCACGCTCACCGCACGAGCCGACCCCAGCTGGGGTGACACACCTTGCGCTTCGAATGCACTGTGTTTACATCTGGATATCTGCTATCCTCACAGCTCACTGGAACATAGCCGAGGAGACACCAAGCAAAGCTTCCTGGGTGCTGCCCAAGCGACTGGGCACGCCAGCTGCCAGCCCACTCGCTTGACGAACATCCGCTGCCTCCCCAGATCTGAATATTCAAAAACTTCTCAGAAGGTGTCTCGACATACGAGATCCATTCAACGGTGGTTTTCCTTTTGAGTTTCCCCTTAGAACCCGCCAAAACGGGGGGTCCCTGAAGCAGGCCATTCTGCGCAAACAGGTCTTGCAACAGCCCGGCCGGCGCCTGCGGCGCCTGCACCTCAGGTCTCTCAAGAGTTGTCCCAGATGGACATTTCGGGGACTATGTTCATGTTATTTTGAAACAAGGACGGACTAGCCCTATTTTGTCTGATGAAATGGGGGGGGGGGTTCAACCTTGTCTGGAGCCTCTAACGGGGGTATGGTTCGGGGAAATTCAGGGCTCCTCTTCGAGATTCTGACTCCCCAGGTGGCCATGGGTCAAAATCCCATAAAATGGGTGGTGCGCCTACCCTGAAATGGGATCCCATTGGTTTGGACCCACAGCCTTGTTTGAGCCACACCCGAAAACGCGGGCCGGGCGTTTTTCCCCCAGTCGCTGGCCAGGTTGCTCCAGCTCGGGGTGCAGCTCCATCGCTTTGCCCAACGTCCGGGCTGGCCTTTCCACGCGCACCTGACGCTGACCCCTTTTCTTCGGCGAATGAAGTGGCCATGGGTCAAGATCCCGTACCCGCAGTGAACATCCCAATCCCCACCAAAATAGACTAAAATGGGTGGTGCACCTACCCCAAAATGGTACCCAGCCAAGTGTTTGCAGCCAGCGCTACCGGCTGCAAAAAGAGAAAGGCCGTTCACTGCGATGCAGTGGGCATTGATGGAGTATTGTGTGTGTCAAGAATGGTGGGTGTTTTTTTTTTTTCTCCCCCCCCGTTTTCCGAAAATCGCCCCAGACAGGGTACCATGGGTACCCTCAAAACAAGCCACGCCCAACTACAAGAAAGCACGGACGGACGATCCACAATGCACATGCGCGCTTCGCGCGCCTTTGGCCGTGGGAGACTTGCTTCGTGAGCTAGCCTTGGCGAGATTCACGCGACATCTCCCGATGGTATGTTTGGTGTCCCCAAATTGGGAAACCTCCTTGGACGGTTCACAAAAGGGAAACCCGAAAAAGCCCCACCACACCCGTATTGCGCGGCAGTCTGGCACGACATCTCCGAGGCTGGCCGCGAGTGCATGTTGAAGCAAGGCCCTTCTCGGCTTCCCACCCCAAAGCACGCTACCATCGGCAAAAGGAACCACGAGCTGTTCCTTTCCACGTAGGCTAGTTCTACATCGAGACGAGTCCTGGCAAACAGCAAGGATCAGATGCAGTCAAGGCGCCCTTTGTGAAACCTGCGTCCCACGGCTTGGCTCTCTCGCCGGCTTTGGACTAACCTTCGCGAGTTCGACACCCGGCCCCTCCACAAACAAGTCAACTCATTCCTAATCAGCGCACTGAGGGGTGGGCAGATCTGCGGTCCGGGAGACTTGGCGACGCAGAAATCCGCTTGTTCCTCCTCAGTGCTGCGCATTTCGCCGGAACGGCGCGACTCTCTGGCGCTTGGTCAGACGTCTCCCTCAATGGGCTGGAGCCCGAGCCAGCCGGTAAGACGAGCCAAGCCAGCCGGTCTTCTTACGGTTTGCCAAGCGGCGAGGAGGCAGTAGAGGCCTCGCTGACAAAGGGCCTCAGTCGGGGCTGCAGCAGCAGCAGCTGATTTCGAGTTTTTTTTTAGTCGCAGCAACCGCTCTGAAGAGGATCTCCTTTCCCTAGCTGCGCCAAAACCACCCTGGGACCCTGCCTTCTTTGTCGAGGTGTTGCAGACTGGCTCTGTTGAGGCTGTTGACCTGAACCGAGACACAGCTCTCTGCTGCTAATTAGTGGTGGCCCCCCAAATTTACTTGACCCCACTGCACGTTGACAATGGCTTCCCTGGCTTCCAAACAAATACTATATACTCTCGTGGTTACACCAGTGTTTCCGTTGAAACTGAAACAGCTCTCGATTGGCAACCGCCTGTTCTCCTCTGTCCGCTTCCCCCGCTTTGCCCCCGCTCCGCCTTTGCGCCGGGGCGACGCCTTGCGCTTGCAGCCCTCCCAGCCCATGCCGGAGCGCGCGTCCTGCAGCAGCTGCTGGAAGAGACTCGGCATCTCCAGACCCTCCAGGCCCGCATGGTCGCTGGCAGAGGCAGCCGCAGCCCTGGACTCCGATTTGCTCGAGAGATGGATTTTTGGCAAAGTTCCAGCATGGTGAGTGCGCCATGCACGTACAACAACTTACCAAAAGAGGAAAATAAAACAAAACAAAACAAAAGAAGAAAGCAAACAACTGCAAGGGCGCATCCAACTCGCGCCTCAAACTGCGAGAGGGCGAGGATACCTCTCGGCTCTCCATCTTGGGCACCTCGATTCGTGCCTCTGGGGCAGAAGACCTTCGCTGGCTTAATCTCACGGCACCCGCAGTCGAAAGCTGAGCCGACAGTGTGGCAGACTTGGAGAGATCTTGGCTCAAGAATCGCTGAAGCTTCTTCTCTTGCTCCTCCTGCAAGGCCTGCAACTTGCCCAGCTCCAGTGCAATCTCAGCCTCTCGCTCTGCAGTTCTGCAGGATTCCAGGCTCGGTTCTCTCCGACTTTGCTCGCAACGAGCATCTTGTCCCGCGACCTTCCGGGCCTCTGCGTCCTTTGTGTCTCGCTCCTTCTCCCTCTCTTTCAAGTCTTTGGACTCTTTCAAGTCTTTGGACTCTTTCAAGTCTTTGGACTCTTTCAAGTCTTTGCACTCTTTGTCCTTCTCCCTTCGCTTCAGGGCCGTGGTGCTGTCTTGCCGCTCCCGCGCTCGGGGCGGCGGCGTGGCCACCGCTCCCGCTCCCTCGGCCGCTCCCTCGCGCGCGTCCCGGGCCACCTGCGCGGCCGCCAGCGCGCGCTTCCACGCCGCGCGGCTCCGCACCCCGGCGCAGGGGATGGCGGCGGCCGGGGCGGAGCGCCGCCGCGGCGTGGAGAGACTCGGGGAGACCTCCGTCTCCGGCAACTCCAAGACGTCCGCAGCCACCACTTCCGCTTCCGCTGGCTCAGCCGCAGCCGCAGCCTCAGGCTTGTGGATGCTCTGGTAGCTGCGGGCCGGCTTCCTCCTGGCCTCAAAGCCTCGTGCGCCATCCCTTGCAGCTTCTGCCTCTCCCACGGAAGGGGCGCGCTCTTTACCTTGGGACGGAACTGGTGACCGGTGTCATGCCATTGGCGGTCTGCTGTCATCAACTCCAAAGCGGTCAAACAAATGTTCAAAGGTCACACTCCTCAGTTGTCCACACTCGCATTTGAAGTGACAATGGTCATCCCCAGGTCGTGTGACCATGGCATGCATGTCCACCCTGTTGGTTTGCCTCTCCTGACTGTCACTCTTTGCACAATGCTCAGTCGACAAAGCGGTTTCTGCCAAGACTCTGTCCATACTCTGCCTGGCTGCAAAGTAGGCGTTGACACTATGCGGCTACAGTTGGTCAAGGTGAAAGGGAGATGCCAGCAAGAACAATCTCAAACAGAATAGGCAACAAATGAAATGTTCAAACCTCATTCCTCCAAAAAATAGGTCAAAATGCCAGTCCGTCATGTGACTCAGCTCACCTGGAACTGGGCTGTCTGCGGCTCGGCTCACCTCCAGAGGTCATGGCGGAGCTCTTCCGGCCCATTCCAGCTACCCTCCCAGCTAACATGGAACACAGACCCCTGTGGAAAGACGACTTCCCCCTTGGAGAGGGCCTTTTTGCACAAACCCATGTTAGGTGGGAGGGTAGACTTCAGTTCGAGTCGGGCATCTTCATCTTTGCCGAGTTGGATCTGAGGCAAAGAAGCTTTAGGGACTGCAGCTGAGCAGCGGCTGGATCGCCGCTTGGGGACCGCCTGGCGGGGGCTGCTGTCCAACTCAAACGGACACTGTGCAAGGATTGAGAATGCCATCTAGGTGTGTCCCCCCAGCCAAAAAAAAAGGAAAACGTGGTGGTTGTTCGTTGGTTTCCAATTAAACCCACCAAACCAAAGTGCCAACCCCAAAAAAAGGGACGAGTCAGCCATTCCGCCGTTGAAACAGCATGCCTGGCCTCCTGGCGCAGCATCCGGGAGAGCTTGGACAAGGCCTGAAAGACATCCGCGCGTCCGCGGCAGTTCTTGCGGCAGCTTCAGTGCCCCTAACGCTCAGAAAAGGTTGGTCACCCCCAAAATGGCTTGCAAAGCCTGGCAAATGGAAGGGCATCTGCGGTCCAACAAGTAGTTTAATTTTGAGCCATACCCCTGTGCTGAGCTTGTTTGCATCCGTCTGTGGCCGACACGTTGGCTTCGCCGCCTGCCGCGCAAAACTGTGGCTTTTGCTGCCAAGGAAGTGACACACCGTGACTGGGTAGGGTGCGTTAGTCAAAGTGGCCTTTGCTGATGCCATCGTACTGTGTGTCGTAGCTGACGTCAGCTGGCTCCACCACCTGCACGTGATCAAAACACGGGCAGAAGTTCGGAAAATAAAACGACATCCATGTATGAATATATATATATACAGTTTTATGTGTAGATATTATTATTATTGTTATTATCATTATTATTAAATTGTTATCAGCATTTAATTATTGTCATTCTTATTAGTATTATTATTATTACCCGTGTTTTATTATCATTATCATTATTATCATTATTATCATTATCATTATCATCATCATTATCATCATCATCATTAATATTATTATTATTATTATTATTATTATTATTATTATTATTATTATTATTATTATTATTATTATTATTATTATTATTATTATTATTATTATTAATTATTATTATTATTATTAGTATTATTATTATTATTATTATTATTATTATTATTATTATTATTATTATTATTATTATTATTATTATTATTAGTATTATCATTTTTTGTTATTATTAGTATTAGTATCATTATTGTTATTATTAGTATTATTATTATTATTATTAGTATTATTATTATTATTATTATTATTATTATTATTATTATTATTATTATTATTATTATCATTATTATGATTATTATTATTAATCATTATTATTATTAGCATTATAACTAGTATCATTATTATCATTATCATTCTTATCTTTATTATCATTAGTATTAGTAATATTAGCATTATTACTATTAGTATTATTATCATTATCATTATTGCTACTATCATTATTATTAGTATCATTAAATTATTATGTTTGTTATCATTATGATTATTATTACTCTATATAATATGTATGAACCGATAGATACTGGCCGCCACTGTAGCAAGGGCGTGCAAACTGATGCACGCAAATCGTGACACTCAACCGATTTGGCAACTCTGGAAGTGCATAAGAAGTCACCATCAGCATGCAGGAACCCAGGGAAGGATCAGCAGAACAAACATGGGCCTTCGCATTCTCCACCACCGCCGCGCTTGCAAAGCCTAGGCGTGGCTGGCTCATGGTCCGGGAGGATGACAAAGCATACAGGTCTGTGCATGCAACATCATTCACTCACTGACGCAACTCCTTGGGTCCCAGCTTTCCAAGTACGGATGTTGCCTCGGGCCCAAGGTGCAGCAAGGGAGAAATCTGCACAAAACAGCCACGCCAATACCCATCGCATGTACCCCGCGAACATGGCGGTTGCCAGGTATTCGTCTTCGTTCTACAGGAGTTTTAAAGGAAAACCAAAAGGAAAACCACCACATCTTGTTGTGGTTTTTCTTTGGGGCGGGAGGAGTCCGAACCCAACAAAACAAACGAGCCAGCCACCAGAATTTCTGAGCTGGGGCTCCGGCAGCGCGTATTCCTCGGCCAACCGACCAAACCGACCCAACTCGACCGACCCAACTCGACCGACCAACTCGACCGACGCGCGTCGCGCGTCGCACTTCAAGGGCCCCGGGCCACGGAGAGGCGCCGGGAGGGGTCGAAGGCCAACAGCCGGCCCAGCAGATCCGCGCCTCGTGAGACTGACCCGCCGATGCGGAGGGCCCGTGGATGCACATGGGCGCTTGGCTTTAGCCGTCTTTTTGCAGCTGGGGCGGTGGCTCCGAAAAAATGGGTTCGCCATTCTTTGGGGCACCTAGGGAAATGAAAAAGACGAGAATGCACCTGCGGTTTGCGTAGCGGTTTTTAGTTGTTTGAGCCACACCCAACTGCCCGCTTTGGAAGATAAAATGATATGGCCAGGTCGACGCTGGAAGGACTTGATGGCACAAAAAGAGGCCTCCAAACGCATGCATGTTGTGTCCAAAAAAGCGCTTGTGGGGTCCCAACAAGAAGGTGAACTCTGACCGACATCAAACCTTCGTGTCAAATGGCTTACACGCGTCTGCCCAGCAAGAAGGCGAATTACAAATGTAGGTAGTTAATCGGTGTTTTCCATTCCGACTCACTTCAAACCTATGTGGGTGTCTTTTTTTAGGGACCCACCCACCCAAAAAAAATAAAAGAAACACAAACAACATGGTGATGTTCCTCTTGGCTTCCCTTCAACACTAAAAAGAACGAGTACCAATCCCAAAAAAGACGTACCCACGTGGCATGCTCGTTTCCAGCTGGCAAGGTGTCCAGTCGAGCTGAGCCCAGCTCCATGACCTCCAGGAATCCCTGGCCTCGGATCGATTGTGTTGCGCTATGCGTCAAACGGGCACCCCCAATTCGAGTGGCTTGTCCTTTTGGGAACCCCGCCCAGACGCCAGCACCGCCACATGCACGAAACCATGGCATTCGCAGTGTTTTCTGAGCTTTGCAGCGCTAAAACTACATCCCAGGGAGCACCCCTTCTGATAGGTCAAAGGATCAAACATAAAATTGCCGAAAGGATGGTAGCCTCAAAAATCGCCTAGGTACCTGGTTTGGGACACATCCGAATTGGTTCAAGTGACAGCTGCTGCCAAATGGTTGCAACTTCCAGGGTGCTTAAGTGAAGCGGGGCGTCCTCAACATAAAAATCGGACTCCCGAAATGGTTGGTGTTCCTGGTTCCCATGAGAAACTCCCAAGCTTGCTGGTGCGATAGGTAGGGAATGTGGGAATCAACCCACATTTTTCCCCTGCAAGGAACCCACAGAAAATGGTTTCTCTTGGGCTCATTCGATTTCTCGTTCCCCGCCATCGCACCAGCAAGCAAGTTCCTGCCTGGGGTTCCCGACATCCGGGACAAGCCCTTGGCTTGTCGCTGAGAGCAACTCCGCATCAGCAGCGGCCTCGACTCCTGGCGGGGGATTCTTGGGCGCCACTGTCTCACCATGCCGTCAGCGGTCTGTCCCAAAATCCATTTACGGGTTCTACCCATATGGTGATAAAGCTTTGTGAAGGGATTACTATAATCCCTATAAAATTAGGTAGAACGACCTATGGCCAATTGGCTATGGGTCAAAACCAATGGTACCATTTTGGGGTAGGTGCATCACCCATTTTAGTCTATTTTGGTGGGGATTGGGATGTTCACTGGGGGTACCGGGATTTTGACCCATAGCCAATTGGTTTGGCGCACTCATCTGACCCGCATGCAGTTGCATCGAACGCACATTGCCGTCCTGAGGAACCCACCACTGGTCCCTTGGCAAGTGGACTGGGAGAAACATGTCAACCTCACCACTTTCAACTTGGTGTGCCCAATGTGATCTCCTAAGATGATAAATGGGGGGGCGCGTCTTTCTTTGCTTTCTGGAAACCAAAATCAAAACCACCATTCTTTTTGGGGGGGTCCCCTTAAAAGAATGACACACCCGAATAGCATTGATCGCTACTCATGTCATCTTGCCGCTGAAGAAAGCGCAGCATACTGAGGCAAAGTCTGTTCAGAGGGCGAGCCGATAACTCCAACAACCTCAGAACGTTGCACACACATGCATATCCGCATTGTCATTGCAGCAGCACAGACCAAGTCAGCAGCTTTTGTCAACTGGTCCACACTGTTCTTGCCCGGGAACAGCGCCTGCGCACACTTCGAGAAACTTCTTTCCAATGCCCCGAAGCCAGTTGCAACGCAGCATCTCAATCTCTTCCCCTGGCAATGTCAAAAAACACCAGGACAGCCTACAGGAAATCAACTTCTTGGTGGAACCCGCCAATTTCCTGGTGTCGCCGCCTTTTCTCCCTTTTCACCGCAGGTAGCCCGCGAGGCCCAACGCGCCGCCGAGCGCCATGGTCCCCAGGCCCAGCGAGCGCAGAAGGTCCGCGACGGAGCCCGTCCATTCCAAGGAGCTCTGCCGCTGCTGCAGGATGCTCTCCCGGGAACCAAAGGCGAAGATGCTGGGCTTGCCCTGGCGCAAGTTGAGATGGCGCGCGGGGCCTGGACGGCCTTGTTTGGCCCGCATGGATCTTGCAGTGGCCGAAAAAGGAGATGAAAAGGGTCGGTCATGTCTGATTCAGGCATGAAACAGGTCAGGTTAAGGAATGGCACAAAGGGGAGCATCAAGATGTGCAACATGCCTGCCCGAGACTTAATGATTGAATTCAAGCCAGCGCCTGGCCCAACAAGACGCAACCAGCATTCTTGCGTTGCGTTCCAAACTGCAAGACAATCAAATTGAACAAGGATTTTGCCTGACACTCTCAGGTGACCGAGGTACATCTCTTAGCCTTGCATGTCAGGTGACCGGGTCAAGCTGCGCCTGACGAATCAAACTGTTGGAACACGTAGGATCCGTCGATGGCTGCAAGGAGGAAGCCCATGTCGGCGCGACACGAATTTGGGGGGGTCATTGAGCTCACACAGAATCCGCTCAAAGGAATCATAAGACTTCGGCTAAGTAGCCGACTCCGAACTCCCATGGTTGAGATACAAAGGCTGCAACTCAAATTCAAACTTTGGATTCGAAACTCTGACCCTTTTCATGCCATGGCTATGGCTTCAACCCTGTTCCACCCACGGCCATCCGCCTGGGCCCTTTGTAGCACCGCCACAGCGCCCTCGCCCTGCATGCCCTTGACCGAGGCACGGTAGCGCCACGCCACGTTGCCGACTGCGTAGACCTCCTCAGGGCGGCCACAAAATGGCTCTGGGTCAAAAACATGTACCCTCCTTCCCACTAACATGGCAACTGGCAGGGGGTCCCTTCAAAAGGAAATTCGTCTTCCAGGTACCTCCCCACAGGGGCCATGTTAGTTGGAGGAAGGGTACCAAAATGCGACTTTGGTATACCTTGGTAAGTGGAACCAAAGACTAAAACCTGCGTAGCCCTAGCTCTGTATTTTTGAGCTACACCCAAATGGAGGCGGCTTGCCGTTTTGGAGTTGGCACCCTTTTCGGGGTGGGTTTGAAGGGAAACCAACCAGGAAACCCGATATCCATTTCGGGGTCCCCAAAAAAAAAACATGCCAGAATCTGCAGGGCAACAAGTGGCTTGCTTGGAGCCGTTGGCATTCCGGACTAAAAAGAAATGGACCCGGTCTAGGGGAGCGCCCATCCCTAGATCAGCCGAGGATAAGCCAAGGAGAACACAAGAACCTTGAGGCTCCAATGCCAGCATTGTCACGGGGGGGCGGTCGTCGGTCGTCCGCTGTACGTGAGTGAAGCAAGCACGGTCGAAACAGCAACTCGATCGCGCCTGGCCCATGGGCAAGATCCTCTCGCGCGTCTCATAGCCCAGGATGCGCGCCGGGGGCGGGGTGTCGGAGTTCACCTGGCGTGCCGAAGCACTTCCCGGGGATGAGGGGAGCCGAGAAAAATGGACCAAGAACGCCAATCATTATAAGGGGATCCCAGCAGAAAAAACAAAAAAAGCTGGCAGCTGTTGGCTTCATTTGGCCTCCGAGCCACCGTTACATTGACGTTGGTGGAGGTGCTGGGAGAGTAGGTCTTGGTCTCGCTTTGACAGCGCAGCAGGCCTTCCACATCGAAGCTCTTGAGGTCCAGGCAGATCTGCAGAGGACTCGACATGAGCCCGGAGGTCGCGCCCAGCTCCCGGAAGCACACGCCGCTCGCAGCTGTGGAGGCCGTCCGTTCCACTTCTCGCAGCTGGATGCTGGGCACCCACTTCCCCGGCTCTCCTCAGCTTCGGGAAAGGATTCCCGGGACCCGCCAGAGTTGGGGGGGTCCCACAGGTTTTAAAGGGAAACCAAAAGGACACCCACCAATTTTGGGGGAAGAGCCAGCAAAAAGACAGGCCAAGATCTGGGAAAGAGAATAGGCTGACCGCAACAATGCCTATAGAGCCAAGCCGCTTCTGCCTGTGTTGGTCCTCTGAACCCGTGTGCGGCCATCCACAGTGGTTTCTCGCTCCTCGTAGATGTAGTCGCCCTCCTTCCATTTGTATCTCTCCACCTTCTCCAGCTTTCGAGTCTCAACCGCCATGGCCAGCTTGTCCTCAAGACTCACACCCAAACAACCTAAGTCCAAAATCGGTACCCGAAATGAAGCCTGGTACATGGAAACATGGACTGAAATCTGCGGTCCCCTGGCAAATTAACTTTGACCCATGCCCAAGTGAATACAAGCCCATCTATCCTCTTTAGGCCCGCTCATCCTCGACCTCCCCTTTGTTTTATGCAGACTTGCCGTTCCGCGAGCAGAGCACCGATCGCGTCCATGGAATGGTGATTCCACTGGAAATACCAACAAACAATGGTTTCCCCTAGCTTCAAAGAGGAGGAGGATTTCGTGCATCCACAGTCATTAGGACCCTCTAAATTGGTAGTTGTCCTTGTTCTTCCGGTCAAAACCAGCAAAAAAAACGGTCCGTACACACCCTTCTTCGGTCCCAAAGGCCACCCTTCGGACACATTGTGATGGGTGCTGATTCCACCAACCACAAGACTGATACCCCCTGTTGTCTCATTGCACTCGGAACCCCCCAAAAAAGCTTGCTTCGGCCTCCTGCTGCCCAAAAGGGGTACAAGCTCCCCAAAAAGGCATCAACTGGGAGGTCCTTACAGAACTCTTGGTAGCTCCTTAGCACCTTAGCTTCCTCTTCAAAGGCAAACTTGGATACCCCTTATTAGCTTCTTGGCTCCCTTGAAACCACTACCTACCATTAGATAGCAAACCAGTGCTTCTAAACTTTTGGGGTTCCCTGCATGTTCTAAAACACTGGAGACTGAAGGGACATCCTAAAGTAGCCTTGAAGCCACTAGCTCGCCAAACCCCAGTGAAAAAAAATCACGCGTAGCTCCTGGCTCTTCAGCGGCTGCTCAGTGTAGCTCTGGCCGCACAGCTCCACGTAGGCGCCAGCATTGAGGCCCCGCCGCTGCGCCGCGCGCACCGCGGAGTCCACGCCTCGCTCGCAACTCGAATCGCCGGGGGCTTCAATTTGAAGCGCCTAGGTCAAAAGATGGAATCCCCAAAATGCTTGCCCGATCGGTCAACGTGAAAAAGGCTAAAGCGACGAAAACCCTGCGGTCTGCTCGTGTGGCGACTTTTACCGGCCAACCCAACTGTCCCAAACTCCAAACACGGCGTTCCCCCCGCCCGGCCGCGGCGCTCAGCAGCTCAGTCGAGGCCATGAGCTCCAGCTCCCGCCGCAACTTCGCCTCGCGGCTCCGCAGCAAAAAGGCCAGGGCCAGCAGCCCGCCTGACGAAACGTCCAGCGAGCCCCCCGCATGCTTTGACTTGCTCAGCGGGGAATGTGGGAAGGCCTTAAAGGAAACCAAGCACAAGGGCTTCAAGGGATGGTTTATAGGGGTCATTCCCTCATTCCCTACTGAGCACCGACCAAAGGAAACACCCGTTAGGCAACCCTCGAAGCCTCCAAAATGTCGATTGAACCGAGAAAGGTTCCAGGGGTTCCGCGGAAAGTTCCACGAGGAATCCGGGGCGGTTCTCAGGAGGGTTCCGCAAGGGTTTCACGCGGGCTGAATAGGACCAAACCGCTGCGGGGGTGTATATGTACCTTCCGCATCTGCAGAACCTTCACTGGTGGGGTGCTGTTGGGGATATCACCTGAGCTTCTTTTTTTGGGGGGGCCTTCTGATGTGGGAAATGGCAACAGTTTCCGCTTTTCCCCTGCAAACCACGCCGGGGGGGGGGGGGGGTATAACCAAAAAACGCATCACCCACTGACTATTGAAGCTGGTGGTCTGGTAAGGATTTTGCCCGATAGCAACACTTTCTTCCAGGGATTGCTGAATCGCGAACACTTCTTCTGTCAGCCAAAGGAAGCAGTAAAGTCCCATCCTGAAATTGAATGCCTTTTCAAGATAGAAAATGGAATGCCATTGTCGGAGCCAGCTATGCAAGTCCATCTCAGCTTTCCCTAAGTTTGGGCTGTGTGTAAACTGGCATGTGCGTTGGGGATTGCCATCTCGTCTGCTTTAGGCAATCACCATGGCTTCAACCCTCCACAGCTCTCTTTCGTTCAGCCCATCTCCCATGCGCGGCCGAAGGCCGGGGCGCCGCCCCCGCAGAAGCAGGGCAGGCCCAAGCTCAAGAGCAGATTGCCCTTGTCACGCTCCGGCATGGGATCCGAGGCTCTTCAGGTCCGGCGCGCCCCGGAAACTTTGGACCACTGCTGCAGACGGACTCCACGTTCACATCTTCGCAGCTCACAATCTGACATGCACCACTGGACGCTTCACACACGCCTTTGCCGTCCACATCTCGTACAGAATGCAGCCCACGGACCAAACATCCACTTTGGGCCTAGCGGCGTCTCTCTCTCTCTCTCTCTCTCTCTCTCTCTGTCTCTTCCTCCCTCGCTTTCTTTCTGTATTTCACTCTCTCTCTCTCTCTCTCACTCTCTCTCGCTCTTTTTTATCTCTCTCTCTATCTATGCAGGATGTCCTTCAGTGATCGTAAGCTACGGGTAAAGAACGCGATGAATGACCAGCCATCCACTTTGCAACATGTACAGCCGTGCTGACCATTGGAAGGCCCAGTGCCTCAATGCCTACAGGTTTTTGATCAGTTTGACAGTCAGGCAAGGATGTTCCCGTGTCTTTGGCTGGACTGGGAGTCCGGGCCCATACTTTGACCTTGCCAGGAGAACCTCCGGAGCCCGGTACCTTCAATGCACATCCAAATCCTCACCTGAAAGGACTCAGACCCAACAATCCAGCCGGTTGATATTTTCGTTCAAACCCGTACAAACCGGAATTCAAAAAAACAACAAAATCCTTCTGGAGCAAGCAGCACGGAACGTGAAGTCATGAGACGGAACGGACATGAGACTTCCAAAATGCAAGTCCTGAAACTGGAGAGGCTCGCAAAATACTTGGGCTCATATCTTGCCTGCAGTCCCCTATTCGAAGTAGCCACTTTGAGAAGCCAAAAAATTGCGGGGCCCAACCATTTTCCCTTCCGCAACCGCGTTGTTTCTGCGGCGCCATCGCGTGACCACGTACTCTGTGAGGTGTTCTTCCAGGGGATGAGTGGCCTGTCGCCATGGAAATCCTCGTAACCTAGGGGCCGCCATGTTCACCTGTGGGTGGTAAAGAAGCCCGGTACCTCTTTTGTCTTGCAAGGGAAACCAAAAGGACCGAAGACACACCCATATGTTCATATTGGGGCATAGTAAAGCCAAATACATGTGATAATGTATATGATTAGAGATGTTACGCTGTCTATATCTATATATATATGCATGTAAACATAAATATATATATATATATATATTTATATGCACGGCATGTCGCAGTGCAGCCTCGCCAGTCTGGCCATCCACCGCTATGCCACGGCTGAGCCCCAAGTCCCCAATCTTCACCTGGGCAGGAGCCACATTGCACACCGGATGAGTGGCATCTGCTTCCCTGCTTTCCATGTTGCCATGGAACCTGACGTTTTGGGGTCTTGGAAGCCAATTGTCCGAAAAATGGATCCTCTGGGTTCTATCTTGGTGGACGGGAGGATATCTGCTTTCCAATCCACATCCCGGATTGCCCGCGGTGTAAGAATGAGTCAATCAAGCGTACACTGAGCAACCAGCGGCGGAGAGAAAAACAACAACAAAACGGATTGGTCAATTCGTTCACACTGCAAAAATTGAGTACGGTACAGGCTATACAACTAATCCACTGCTGGTATGGGGATGTGCTGTACATCAGCATGTTCATGAATTCACACCAACCATGGCGACACTCGGCTCGGAAATCGATGCATTGATGAAATGCCAAGAGCGGCAAAACCAACGGGCCTCCTGCGCCTTGCGCACGAAAATGTTCGCGGGCTTGAGATCCTTGCACTGAAAAGAGGCGGCGCGAGACGGCGCTTCAGAATTTGGACCACGCTGCCAGTATAGGACATTCAGAATTTGGACATTGACATGGCTGCAAGTCGCCCATGCTCTTGAAAGCAGATTGGCAGTAATGGTGATCCCTGATTGTCCAGCTAATCAGGGGTCCCGGTCCAGGAAATGATTCCAACCACGAAGTAGGGGGTTCAAGCAGGGGTCAGCATTAGTCATGCCCGAACCATCCGGCTCCCTGTGAATCACGTGCGCACAGTGCAGGTGAAGAAGGCCGAGCAGGACCTGGCATAGCCACTGGTGTCTTAGACTAGAACCCTGAACTGGCGCAATATTGGTTTCCCCAATAGCTCACTGGATTTCCCTTGCAGCTGGCACTTCACTGTTGGTTCCAACGAAACTGCCACTGTTGCAGCTCCAGAAAAGGCTTCCCTGAACCACCAAATCCAATTTCTGGTCACCCCAAACAGGAACCACCTGGAAATCTGGCCCCAACCCTTCCGCGGCCTGCGCGCAAAAGCTGCGGCATTTGCCCTCGTCCAACGCCACGCCGCGGCCTGGCGGCACGGCGCAAAAAAAAGAAGGACGTCCTGGAAAAATGACGCCCTGGACGAGATCTTTTCCACTTGCTTGTTCGTTAGAAAAAAGAAGGAGAAAAGAGAAGAAGCAAAAAAGAAAAAAAGAGAAACGGTCTGGGCGTGTTTAGTTGCCTGTTGTTTTTTGTTTTTTTGTGCTTCTGTTGCCACCGGTGTTTTGTTGTGGCATCAAACTCCTGCAGGTAACCTTTCCCAATCGCGGGGCTGGCCCCCCCAAACCGGCCTGTAAACAAAGCTTGTTCCTCAAGCCATCATCTCCTGCAGGTAACCTTTCCCAAACCCGGGGTGGTCTCGCAAACCGGCCTTTGAATTAGGATTTGCAGACAAGGCTTGTCCCTCAAGCCATCAACTTTTGCAGGTACCCGTTCCCGTTATGGAGAGCACCCATGACCAGTAAGAAGCACCAGGCCTGCTTCGGGCCTCCAAGGTTCCCAGGATGTCATGGGAAAGACCACAGCGTACATTGGAACCAACTCCAAAACAAAACTTCATGGCAACAATGTGACACATGCGCCACAATGCTCGCAAGGCGCTGGTGAAGCGCAGCGGCAAACTCATAGGAGCAGACGCACAGGAGGTAAAAATTCGCACGGCGGCGTCGAAGCTCGGCAGGCAGAACGGACTCTAGGCCACAAACTGCGGTCATGTCAAACGGCCAGAAGTTAAGCTTGATGACCTGGAACATTGATCCCACTGTATGAGCACATCTTTGTTGCAAGGTGCCCCGGCTTGACCTCCCAGTTGTATAGCTCACGGGGAAGCTGGTCATAGCTGGCATATCCACATTGGCTGTATATAACCCGGCACAGCAGGAAAACAGCCAGCAATTCACACTGCTCTTGAGTGGATAGCTCCAGCTGGGGAAACATGGCACGGCTCTAGGGTCGCAAATAAGACAAGGATGCAAAAAGCTAAACTAATTGCACAAGAACTTGTGTCATTGAGGGCTTCCTGTCAAGGCGTTGCTTTGCTTGTCCCTTGCATCTTGCAGAGCCAATGGTCCCGTCGGACTTGCACATCCAACCAAACTCACAAATAAGTCATTGCAGCAACGCTAGCCATCCCCTGCTCCTTGGGTGGTGGCAGGGACCCAATGTTGCGCATGAATGAAGATAAACACAAGTTCCACGGGTAAATGTTCCGCCCGGTTGAACCGATTGAACTAGTTGACCAGGGTGACCTTGGTTAAGTCGCAGGGCCAATTGAACCGGCTGAACCAGTTGACCTGGCTGAACTGGACCAACCAGTTGAACTAGATGAACCGGTTGGACGGTGCCAGTTGAACTAATCGAACCCATTGAACTGGTTGAACCAGTTGAGCCGGTTGAACCGGTTGACCAAACTGAACCGGTTGAACCGGGCGGAAAATTTACCGCGCCCCCCCCCCTGCTGACGCAATGTACATTACATACATTACATACATTACATACATTATATACATTACATACAATACATACATTGCATACATTACATACATTACATGCATTACATACATTACATACATTACATACGTTACATACATTACATACATTACATACATTACATACGTATATAAGACACAAGTAGAGTCTAGGAATTAGTACTAGCCCCCCTTCCCCCCTTCTAAGATGTTGCTTTGGAGTTGTTGAGATTCAAGCATATGATTCAGTGCATGTCAAAGTTCGACTTTGCGGCGTGGTGGGAGCTTTGCAACTTTGCATCCGTTTCGGTGCTTGTCGCGATTATCATAGCAAAGGCACAAGTCTAGAGCTCAGTGATACTGAAGTTACTGTGGATGGACGAAATCCTGCACCACCTAAGAAACCGTGGAATGCTGATTCCCCTGTCAATACCAACCAACCATGTTTCCCGTGGATTCCAAGTGGTGCAGGATTTCGTCCATCCACAGTAGCACAGTTGCAAAGCACTATTCGACCCTGTCCCAATGTGTGTTGGGGCTGCTCTGGTGATTGGTTTGAGGGCCATGTCTCTGGGCTACATGTGCTTTGCTTTCTCGACACAGCCGAGTTCCAACTCAGCTGTGTTGCCCTTTGTTTGCCTCAGACTGATCTGTGTTTTTGCTTCAGGCTGCTGCTATACATGTATCTGGGGATTCGCATTGGGTCTGTGGGGGTGTTGTCTGCAAGCTCTCAGCGTTGGGCTTCACGGCTGCTTTGTTGTATGCTTCAGGCTGCTGGAATGTCTGGGAATTGGCCCTCAGCCCTTGCCTCGGCAGGCTTGACGGGCTTGACGGTAGCATGAAAGACTTTTGGTACCGCCATCTGCCAAGGGTTGCGAATCCCATCTCGCAGCACCTCCTAAATTTCGGTGTCTGATTCCATGCCCCCTGTAACTCCCGAAGCCACGGTCGCCACGGTCGCCGCCCTTCGACCCACGCCGCTCCACGCCGCGCCTCGCACCAAGCGGTCCAAGTCGCAGTCCATGAGCCTCACGGAGTTCAGCGACAAGTGGTGGGACAGAAAAATCGAACGACCGTTTTGGGGATTCCCCCCTAAACGAAGGCCATAGGGGATGGTCGTTTGTCTCATTTGTTGAGAACCAGCCAAAATTTGGGCGCAACGAAGGCCATAGATGGGATGGTCATGTGTCTCATTTGAGAACCGGCCAAAAGTTGGGTGTGGCTCAAAATTAAACGATCGGAGGTGGGCAAGGCGCAGGTCTTGGCTTTTTCGTTTCCACTTACCGATCGGGCAAGCCAGTTTGGAATTCCGGCTTTTTTGAGACGCAGCCAGATCTGACCCTTCGAATGACCCTTCATGATTTCAACCCTTCAAATCCCCTAGAAGTTGAGATTCATAGCTCACGTCGATGGAGTTCATGGATGAACCGTGTGGCTCAAAAATAGGAATCGCTCCAAGGCGGTCTGGCTCTTAAATTCTGAGCCACCCTCAATTATGTCATCCGAAAGGAACCCATCTGGATGCGTGCAATCCCAAATGACGACGGCAACAAGGCGAGGGATTGCCTGACTCCCTCTCTCACTGGGCCCTGGGCTCCATAGACATGTAGAGCTCTCCTTTCCGGGTTTTGGGGGGCAGCGGTCAGCGCATGCCGGCCGCAGAAAGTCCAGGCATGCAAAGCACCAGGCCAAACATGATACGAAGCCACGCTTCAAACCATCTGTATTGAGTAGAGATCAATTGAAATGCTTGGCACGCCGTCGCCTCCAGATTCCACCAACAAAACCTCAGAACGAGCCGAGCACGTCCAAGAAACTGCCCCCTCTCCCAGGTCAAGTGTGACCTCGTGAGTTTGCTTCTCACGCCTGTTTGCTTGTGTTGCGACTTCTTACAACGTCTGTCCCCATGTGTAGCTGTGACACGCTTCACAGCTGTGCCTGAGGTGCAGGCATCATGCAGTTGCAGAAGATTTGAATGACGGAAATGCCGCATCAGCTTGATCTCTCTTAGCCTGGAGCCCAAATTCAGCAAGCAGCAATCACACATACACACAAATACAAAGACACAAACGCCGACGCAGCCACCAAACCCTGAGGTGTGAGCGTCCGTCTAAGCATCAGGAAATTGTCAAAGACCCTGCGCCTTGGCTCTGGACTGTGGGAAATGCAAGTTGCTGGAAATGAGCGCCTGCTCATACAGGTTGAGCCAAAGGTGGTCCGGTCGTTCAAACAAAGTACATGGCAGTGGCTCAAAAAACCGGTACCAAAATGGAATCCTGGTAAGTGGAAACATGGACCAAAACCTGCGCTTTGCCCCTCCTGTTTAAATTTGAGCCACACCCACATGACCAACTTGCCATCCACGTGCCTGAACCTCCACCACCGGTCTCAGGTCTGAAAGCTTTCTCAGCTCCCAAGTTCCCAGCACTCGCTTGATGGCCACGTCGTGTCCGGAAGTCGCATCGCGGAAAGACGCGACCACTCCTGAGCCATCAATCCCAAAAACAGCAACTGGCTCGGGTGTGTCTTCTTTTGAGGGTTCCCCAAATTGTTGCGGGTTTCTTTTAGGGAGAAACAAAAGGACAACCATTTTACGGTTTTCATGCTTGTGGTTTTCAAAGGAGCAAACAAGAGTACAACCACCATTTTGGGGGTTCCCCCCCAAAAAATGACACACCCGCATCTCTCGTGAGCGCGTCTGGCAGGACTCAGCCGGCCACCATAGCTGCCACTGCCAAGGAGTTTTTGAAACTGATACCTGTCCGCTTGCCAAGGTTTGAACTCTTCTCAGCCTCTTGCTCCAAGCCTCACGCTATGAATTTCAATGGGGACCCTCCAAAGCGGTTGGTGGACATAAATCCCCACCTAAATGATGACTAAAGGATTCCCAATTGAATTTCATACCCACATCAGTCAATTGAGTGATTGATTGATTAAATGGGTGTGGCTCAAGAACAGGAATCGGCCCAGGCAGCATTTTCATGTCAAAATCACATCCCCACCAACACCCGGGCTCAATGGAAATGGATGGGTGAATGGACAAGTAGACGGCGCCTCGGGGGCAGCAGGAAGCTGGAAGACTCGCCTCCCACGACCTGGGCGTACGAGAAGCAGCCCAAATTTCTTATGACCATGGGTCAAGAGCCCGTACCCCCAGTGAACATCCCAATCCCCACTAAAATAGACTAAAATGGGTGGTGCACCTACCCCAAGATGGTACCATTGGTTTTGACCCACAGCCTTATGTTGGCGGTTCCCGGAAAGGACATGGAGAAAAAGGAGTGAAGGTTCCTGGTGGGAAACCGCAATGGAATGCCCACAGAAAGTCCAGACCCCATTTTCGTTTCGCACATTCTAGGCCCCCGGCACTCCGCGCAGAGCGAGCGCGTTGCATAAGTCTGGGTTGTAACACGGAATTCGCGTGCTCGGCGTGAATCCAGCTGCATTGCATCCAGCTCAACTTCTTTTGAAATTCACGGGTGCGATGCTGGGGAACTTTGTCTGAAGGCCTTTGCATTGAACCGTCCCTCGTGCTCCACCCGTCTCTCCCTCCATGTTCTGAGTCATCATGGCTGCCGGCGCATATTCACTGCCGTATGTGAAGTAGTCCGGCCTCTATCAAATCGTGCCAATTGCAACCCACCTGTTTCAAGCC